ATAATAGAAATTAAAAATTATTGAGGAATTTTTCTTCAAATGTTTGGCGTGTTCTGTTCCTGAAAGATTTACTAATATTCTGGAGATTTTTTTCAAGTTCTTCGGCCTTTTCCTTAGGGAAATTTTGTTTCTTATTTGCTGCTAAAAAATGGCGTCTGATTCAGTCAATGACTTTGATGGAACTAAATGAAAACGTGATAAATTAAAATCCGATATTTACAGGCTCCCGCTAGACGGCGTACTCGAGCGTTGCGATCGCGAATATTAAAACCAACTAAAAACATTACATTAAACTCATTGCATTAAAACATACAAGTTGAAGTATCAGTAAGCGATCAATTTATTAATTCTTTAGCCTTTTATTTAAACAAATTTATAATTTAAATGTATTTTCTTCATTTTTTTTATGATTTCGTATTCTATTTTTTTATTAATTCGTATACGAATTTATAATATAATAACTAATATATTATATTAGTTATTATATCATACAAAGATATACAATATACAAAGATAGAACTAATACAAAGTTTAATCTCCTTAAATAGATTTTTGGTTATAACTAATATAAATTTTAATTTCATTAACTCGATTTTCGATTAATATCATAAGCTGATTAAATAGCTTAGCGAATTCGACTAGCTAGCTCCTAATTAAATCTGTATCGAAGTTTGGATTAAAAGTATTTAATTATTTAATGAGATATTTTAATTAGCTCATTTTCAAAGTAATTTTTAGTGTGATTTTTTGATCGAAACAATTCTAATCGTTTCTATTTTATTTTTTTTTAAAGTTAAATGCTCAAAATATCCTAAATGAATAGCTATAAGTTGGGGTAAACAAAATATGCGAAAGTAGATGCGAAATAATATGCGAAGCCAGCATATAATGAATAGAAAGTAGGCTAATAATTGTTTGCTTTTATGTGAATCTTCCATAAATATATATATTGATCACCAGTTTGGATTTCTATGGTGCCAAGGCAACCAAGATTAGTAAATGTCTGGCTATAAATATTAATTAAATACGTTCTCTTGGAACGTTAAAAAAAATCAATTTCAAATTAATAAGCTTATTGATTTATTAAATTTTTTTATTACTAGGCTTGAGCCACCATGGCCTAGGTCAGTGTTTCCCAAAGTTTGGCACGCGTACCCCCAGGGGTAATGAAACAGTTTAGCGGGGGTACGCGTTCTTATGCGAAATATCTTGCAACAAACAAAAATTTCAAACAATTTTATTTAAAAACAAAGCTAGCCATGACAATTTACGATAACGTATTTTTCTATTGACTATTTTTTGCATAGTTAACAGTTAATAATTAGTGGTGTCAACAGCCAGTTGTGACTTTTAACTTTTGCGCATTTTTTTTTATATTAAAATATTCATTCATTTTTTTTTATTAATGGTACACAGCGTTACGAAAAATTTAGAAAGGGTACACAAAACTCATAAGTTTGGGAAACACTGGCTTAGGGTATAGAGCGCTCGCCTTCCAATGCGGTCTAACAGGTTCGAATCCCAGCCATGGCTGGTCGACACGAATTTCACACCTGGTTCGCACCGAACACAGTGTTGACGTAAAATATCCTCAGTGGTAGCCGGATCATTGGTTAGAGACCCCTTGCCGATAGGCTAACCGTTGGAGGTTGTGGTTTTCCTCTCCATGTAACGCAAATGCAGTTTGGTTCCATCGAAACGTCCACCACAAGGAATATTTCACCCGAGACTTGATTTAGGAGTTCCCAGCGAAGGCTGGTCGACACGAATTCCGCAACCGGCTAGCACCGACTACAGTGCAGACGTAAAATATCCTCAGCGGTAGCCAGATTATGGGTTAGAGTCCCATGCAGTAGGGCTAACCGTGGGAGGTTTTCATGATTTTTCCTCTCCATATAACACAAATGCGGATAAGTTCCATAAAAAAGTCCTCCATGAAGACAGATTTCTCCCAATACTTGATCTAGGAGTTCCCTTGTCTTCTGGATTGGGTTCAAAATTACAAGGCTACGGAGTTGAACATTAGTAGTCGCAAACCTAAAAATGGTCGACTTTTATAAAATAAAATATATTAGAAGCTACATTTCTTTTGGAGAATATTAATTATGGAATCACGTGTTTTAGTGTATTTTAGTAAATAATAGACCAATCAAATATATAAAGATTGAATATGAGATTTATTAAAACTACATCAAAATATACACTAAAAGTTTTGGAAATAACCACTTTTATAGAACAATCACTTTATTTAAGCTCTCAGATCACTAGTAATTAGAATGTGTATTTTAATTTTTATATAAATAACACTTCATTAAACGTTGCATTAGATCTTGAAGTTAGGAGAACTTACGATCATAACTTTTTGATTTATAAACATACAATTTTCTCAAAGACGAAAAATTTAATTACATTGAAATTTTAGCAATACAATTTTCTCAGTTGAATTCCAACAGGAAACCAGCTAAAAATTTCATTTTTCTGTACATAATCAATTAATTAAGCAATAATATATAGAAAATATTTTATTTCCATTTTTTTTTTAAAGTACAAGTTTAGTGTTGCGGGTCAAATTGAGATTTTTTTTCTGACTTGAAAGATTCACAGAAAAGGAAAGGCTGATTAGTTTATACACACAAAACTTATCAGGAAACTTGTTATTATGTTAAAATTCAAACTTGTTATCAGATAAAAACTTTTATAGATAAAATATCAACAAAGCCTTTTAACTTAAACTTACATGGTTTATTGATTAAGGAAAACAGTTCAATTTTGCATGTTTAAAAGACAGTGTTTAACTGAAAACATAAAACTAACCAGGTTTTGCATTTAAGATACTATATTGTAAAATTTATAACTGTTTTCAAATTATTAACAGTTTTCAAACTAAATTGTAGAAGCCATGGTTATTCTTACAATAAATAAAAGTGTACTTAAAATCAAGAATTGAACAAAACAGAATAGAATGGATTTAAGCGTAAAGGCATCCCCCCCCAATAAAAAATTTCCTAAAATTAAAAGAGGGAAAAAAGTTCATTTTCGTAAGTATAACATAAACTTACTGATTTACACAACACTAACTTACAAACGTTTTTTCGTGCTCCATCTGCTAACAAGTAAATAAATAACTAAAAGGTCATGACAAATTTTAAAAGGAAGTAATTTTAAGGTAAGTTTTACACTGGATATAACTTTTTGCGCATCCCACCTGCAAACTTGCATTATGAATCGAGGCAACTTTGATAAATGAATTATTAAAAGTTTAAAACAAATTTACAATGGCAGTAAATTCAAAGAAAAATTTTCATTGAATGAAAATTTTTGCAAACCCTATCTGCCAATAACCTAGTACATTGGACAATTTTAGTTAGCAAATAATTAAAAGTTCATGACAAATTTACAATGGTAGTAAGTTTTAAGAAAAGGGTTTCTACCAGAATAAAAACTTTTCGCGTATCCCATTTCCAACCTTGAATTTTGAATGAGCGAATCTTAGTAAATGAATAATCAAAAGTTTATGACAAATTTACAATGGTAGTAAATTTGAGGAAAGTGTTTTCCAGAATAAAAACTTTTTGCGCATCTGCAACCTTGCATTTTAAATCAGTGAAACTTTAATAAATGAATAATCAAAGGTTAATGACAAATTTGCATTGGTAAATTTGAGGAAAATTTTTCAATGTATAAAACATTTTGCGCATCCCATCTGCAACCTTGCATTTTGAATCAGTGAAACCTAAGTAAATGAATAATCGATATCATAAATTTACAATGGTAGTAAATTTGAGGAAAGTGTTTTCCAGGATAAAAAATTTTTGCGTATTACATCTGCAACCTTGCATTTTGAATCAGTGAAACCTTAGTAAATGAATAATCAAAAGTTTATGACAAATTTACAATGGTAGTAAATTTGAGAAAAATATTTCACTGGATAAAAATTTTTGAGGATGTAAACTTGTATTTTAAATTAGCATAATTTTAATAAATGAATAAAAGTTCATGGCAAATTTACAATGGCAGTAAGTTCACATAAAAACAATCACTGTTCTTCTTCGGACACTATTTCCTCTTTAATCAGTACTGGTGGCTGAAACAATGAATCTTCACTGCTAATTGTGGATGGCCCTTGAGAAAATTTACCTAATTCTCTCTCAACATTGGCTGAAAGAATATCTGACGGGTCATCAGGCTCCTGCTTGATTTTGATATCCACACTTTGTGAAACTGATTCAATGACAGGAAATTGTTCGCAGGTCNAATCAAAGGTTAATGACAAATTTGCATTGGTAAATTTGAGGAAAATTTTTCAGTGTATAAAACATTTTGCGCATCCCATCTGCAACCTTGCATTCTGAATCAGTGAAACCTTAGTTAATGAATAATCAAAAGATTGTGACAAATTTACAATGGTAGTAAATTTGAAGAAAGTGTTTTCCAGAATAAAAAATTTTTGCGTATCACATCTGCAACCTTGCATTTTGAATCAGTGAAACTTTAGTAAATGAATAATCGAAGGTTAATGACAAATTAACAATGGTAGTAAATTTGAGAAAAATTTTTTCAATGGATAAAATTTTTTGAGTATCCTACCTGCAAACTTGTATTTTAAATTAGTGTAATTTTAATAAATGAATAAAAGTTCATGGCAAATTTACAATGGCAGTAAGTTCACATAAAAACAATCACTGTTCATCTTCGGACACTATTTCCTCTTTAATCAGTACTGGTGGCTGAAACAATGAATCTTCACTGCTAATTGTGGGTGGCCCTTGAGAAAATTTACCTAATTCTCTCTCAACATTGGCTGAAAGAATATCTGACGGGTCATCAGGCTCCTGCTTGATTTTGATATCCACACTTTGTGAAACTGATTCAATGACTGGAAATTGTTCGCAGGTCATGGCTAGAGGTATGTCCTCAGCCATAGAAGAGTCTGGTTCAACGCGAGTAGATGGACCAGGTTCGGAGAGTGTTGTTTTTGGCATGTCTGGAACGACAAAGGCTCTGGGGTCTATTTCAACTACCATGTCGGATTCTGGATCAACTACAATCATTCTGGGTTCCTGGGATATTGCCAATAAGTTCTGGTTTATTGTTGGTAAAATATGAGTCGGTGAATCTGGAGAATCACTAGATTTAGAATCCTTGGGTAAGCCCTGGAAAACAAGACAGATATGTCATATCTAAAACAATAGCTAAATAGAATTAAGGGATCTAAAAACGAAACATAGTAAGAATTATATTTTATTTGTAGATTAGCTCTTCCTAATAGACGAAAACTTTTTAATGATCTCTCTCACATAATTAAAATAACCTCTAGTGTATAATCCTCTTCAAATTGTTAAAAATATAATCTTTATTCGTGTATAATCCTCTTTAAATTGTTAAAAATATAATCTTTATTCGTGTACAATCCTCTTCAAATTGTTAAAAATATAATCTTTATTCGTGTATAATCTTCTTTAAATTGTTAAAAATATAATCTTTATTCATAAAATGAATCTTAACTTATCAGTAAAATGTCTTTTAAAAACCGAAATACCATTCATTTTAAGAAATATTTTGAGATTGTAATAACATCTTCATCCGGTCTTACGCCTGCTTGCGCCGTCGAATTCGAACAAAGGAAACGTCTGAAAATTACACATCACATGACTTGAAAAAGAGAATAGCATTATGATGTAAGAGAAAAAAGTGCAAACTTGTCTGCTTAAAATGAAAATGTAAAGATATTCTGAAGGAGCTTTACCCACCTTCTAAAAAATTGGCAATAAAATAATTCGGATAAAATTTCTTTCCTCGTTCTGAAAATGCGACTTACTTCTTGCACTAAATTCTTCAATTAATGTAGTTAAAATAATTTCATTTTTTCTTATTTAATTTAATTTTTAACTCTTTTCGGTGGCATTACGTTATTAAAGTAAGCAAAACTCGTTTTTTTTTTTGTTCATTCCGTAAAGATAAAATGTATTTAGCATCATTTGGCATGATGCTATTGCTCGCGGCCTAATCAAAATTTTCCACTATCAAGTAAATTTTGTATCCCTTTTGAGGGCCCGTAAAACACTTATTTCCAAAGTATCGGTATTGGGGCAATGCTTAGTATTAGGGCAGTTTTTATAATCACCAGATATATCAATACAATATTTTATACCTCTGTAAGTATATTTAGTACTTATTATATAACACTTCAACATTTGAGTTTCGTGCGAAATAGATTTGTCAGAGGCAGCTAGCTAGAGACAATTTTTTTTAAAGAATAATCTATCTATATTATATAAAACGCTAATACGTACGCATGTATGTATCAATAAAACCGATGATATTTCTTTTCTCGCGCTGGCAACAGTTTTCATTTTTAATTGATTGGATTCGGCACGCAAGAGCTCGTAGTGAGCAACCAGATAACAATAACCAGAGTGATCATTATCAGGTTGTTCAATTCAGATTCATGCACTAAAAACATGACAATATTTAATTTAAACTCAATTAGGAATTAATTAATTAATTGAAGTGAGAATGCTTTAAAAGGCCGTTGTTGAATTGATATTTTTCTACTGGGAGCTACCTTAACGTCTAAAAAACGTTTAAGTGTTTGTATTGAATGCATTGAATTTTTTTACATTTCGCGTTTATTTATGCATTGAATTTTCACGCTTTAAAATGCAGAATATTAGTGAAGCAATATTTGATAATTTATTTTGCTAATATGTTTCTTATTTAGCTAATGTTTTGATTTTTTCACCATGTACAATCTAAATAGCTAATATACTTCTTTAAAAGCCAATAAGAACATTGGTAGAATTCTTCTACATAAGTACAATACTATGTCTTTGATGATAAAATACTATGTCTTTGATGATAATATATTATGTCTTTGATGATAATATATTATGTCTTTGTGCTAGAACATTGTGTTCATTGGCGAGCGAGCGCAGCGAGCCATGGTTCACGGCGTGAACCACATAGGATTGCGTAGCAATTCTCGGGGGTTGGCGAGCGTTAGCGAGCAGGGGCGGAGCCTCCTAGTAATAATAAAATTCCTATTAGAACATGATAAAGACTTTGGAGCACACTATTTCTCGATCGGACCTTTTATTTACAGTTAAAATACTTACTTGTAAGTAGTGGTGTAAAAAAGTTCTCTTAATTCTAATTCTCTTAAAATATTAATCACTATCTTTGTTACCACTGGAAAAAAATATTTTCTGAAACTACGGAAAATCTATTGTAGTATTCTTATCAAAACAGAATACCAAAATTACCATAATACCAGTAGAACATATTACCGTCAGTAGTACTATGACAAGTCATTTGTGAATGGTGATTTTCTAAAATTTTTCTAAACGAATTTCCCACTGTTCTTTACTCCATTATTTTTGCTATTTAGAACGTAGCTTATTTCATTTTATTTCCATTAATACATGTTATCAATATTAAATAAGCACTAGTATCAATAATAATATGGCATATTTTTCCGGTCCTCCAAAACGAATAAATATCTTTTCTCCATTAAGTTTCAACACAGGTTATTGTTTCTATTTTTTTTAATTTTAATTAACACATATTGCCAACATTAAATAAGCATCATTGTCGTCAATAATATTATGACGATATCTTATGGTTCTTCTAGACCAGTGGTTTCCAATTGGCGGCCCAGGGGCCGCATCCGGCCCTTTTTTTTGAGGCCCCCGAACTAAAATATATTAGTTGTCATTTTTTTGAGGACAATTTTCGAAAAAAAATCTGCATGGGTTTAAAATACTTTTCTCGTTAATAAAAATCTAATTCCTTCGTTTCTGTGAAATTTAACATACTAACGGTGCAAAAAAATTTATTTCTCATGTTTTGCATCCAAGAAAATATTTATTCAAATACAAAAATAATCGTGCATGTTGTTATTTTTTATTTCATTTTTTTGTATTTTGTGAATATATTTTAGCATGTGTGTATCAGAAATTTTCTCCAAGAAATTCTCCGATTTAACTTTTTGAAACCAGTCATTTAGAACGAAAATATTTACACACACATTTGTAAATTTAAAATGTAAATATCTTGTCTCTGATGGTTGCAGCAAACAAACCTCAATTTTCTCATTGAACATTTTGTGTGCTATAATGTAAGTTTTAATACCAACCTTTTTAAAGTTTTATATCTTAACAAATAGATATCTGTTGCACATTAATTGTTTAATACATAGGTGCTCAATTAACTTATTGTAGAACGAATTTCTTAATATGCAAATAAATATTTTTAAAAATATACTTCTTATTTTAATTTGTAATTCAATACCTTTGTTTTGTACAACTTGGTAAAAATCGAACAGTAATATTTAATGTTCCTTCAAACATAAAAAGAGTCCTACATAAAATTTTAATAAAGTTGTGGCCCGCCATTTGATTTGTGTTTTTATATTGTGGCCCACGGCCTTATGTAATTTGGAAACCCCTGTTCTAGACGAATAAATATCTTTACTTTTGCTATCAAGTAAATAGCCTATTTCTTTTATTTCAATATGTATAAATTGCCTAAATTAATTAAGTATCATTGACGTCAATAATAATATGGCAAATTTTTACGTTTCTCTTTAAGGAATTACTACCATTTAACTATTAATTTTGCCTTTGAAAACATAAAAAAAATCTATTAAATTACCGTAGATTTTAAATAATTATTTTTAGAAACACGTTTTAAAAGAATTAATATAGATTATTATTTTATCTAGATAAATTATTTTATTTTGCGATATAGCTAATAATACGCTCTAGTTTTATAAACTTGAAGTATGATTTATGTTCTACTCGTTAATAGCAGCAATAATAATTAAAATTACACATTTTTTAAAGCACACGCATAAATAAATATAGCAATACCAACTTCTTCAAAATAATTGAAGTTTTAGAATAGGCCATCATCTAAAAAGAATTAAGCTCAAAAAAGTAGCCATTTATTAAATAAACTCAAGGTTTACATAAGGCAGTAAATAACATAATAAAAAATATAAAACAATTTCAACCCTTAATGTATAGTTTTAGAATCCATGTCAAAAATCAAGTTTAAAAAATAAATACATTACGGATCTTAAAATTTAAATAAGGGATCTTAATATTTAAGTAAAATTGAAGTAAAAACTAAGAAAAAACTACGAATCACTACGGATGAAAGTGGGATGAAAGCATTAAAACCTGCTTGATTATAGGTGGAAACACAGTCATTTTACACTAGCATATTAGTCATCCAACAGAGCGATGAGCTAATAATTTCAGTTCCCTTCATTGTATTGCTAATTTCTAAATTTTATTAAATTATGAGCAAATTTGAAAAAGCAGTTTAGAATTTCAATATTAAGCCTTAATTATAAATCAAAATCATAATTTCTGACACTACTTTAAAAATGACAAAAATCAGTTTTATTTTGAAAGTACAAAAGGCAGTATAAAATTTTGAAACCCTGCAGCTTAAAAGCGAAATTTTAAATGATAATTATTCTGTGAAGGTTCTGCTCTCATAAAAAAATAACACGTTTTAGTAAATTGATTGTTATTAAAAAAATTAAAAAAAAAAAAAAAACTATTGTGAGTTTATAAGTTGTTCATGGACGTTAGGCTAGATTTTCCTCATCTTAAAACACCCTCTATCCTTAGTGCGAAAAAGCAAAATGTCGATATTAAGACTTCTGTAAAAATGAAATGCGCTTATGAATTAAGTTATTAATATTTGAAAAGTTACTCTTCCCTCTAGCATTGTTTAGGCTGATAAAACTACGCAAAAAGGGAGAATTTTTTCATTGATTTTCCTCTGCGTGGAAAAATCTCGCCAAGTTGGCGATTTTAAAAAAGATTTAACAATTATTCAAATATTTTGAAAGAAAATTCTTTTCAGCAAAATAATACAATGTATTTATTGTTCATATTGAAAGTTTTACTTGAATTTAAGGAAGAGCAGTGAAGTGGGGTAGTTCTACTACAATTACGAATTTCCTAAGTTAAATTTTTTTTTAAATTTCACAGGTAAAAGAAATAAATTTTAAAAAATATGCTTGTGCAAAATATGAATTTGGAGCAAAACGATTATAAGAAAAGAGCTGCATGAGATAATTTTTATCGACTCTGAGAAAGAATAATTAGTGTTATTAAGTAGTAAATTTATATCTATTCTAAAATAGAATGAGCGTATGAGTTAATTTATAGCTCATACGCAAAATTTCTAAACATGTTAAAACAAGTGCATAAATAAACTTTATCAGTGAATATTCATGAACTAGGAAACTACTACAAATTATAAGTTTTATAAATTTGCACATGTTTAATTAAATTTTCATTTGCTAGAATTTGGATTTGGAACTTATGAATCGAAAGACAACTTGCTGATAATTTATTTAGCAATCGATGGTGCAAAGATAGTTATAATTCAATCAATCAATCAGAAGTTTCAAGATATTACAATGCAATAAACATGTGATAGGTTAGAATTTAAATAACTGTCATAATATTCATTTGAATATTATTTTTGTATACAAAATTTTAAGTATTTGACTAAATAATTTTTGAAAAATTGAAAACTTTTTTCTTCTTTTAAACTGAGGGGCCTAGCACACTTCTCATTAATCAGAGTAGGACATCAATGAATAATTCGAATAGAAAGAAACATTTCGTCAAGAGAAAACTGAAACATCAAACTTTCTTTTAACTTAAAATCTTAACTTCTAAAAAATTTGAGATATAAATGCACTCAAATAAATTTGAAGGTTTTATTTTCTTCCGTTAACAACAATTCATCATTCTAAACACTTATTCATACAATCAATCATTCTTTTAACCCTAATCAGAAGCAGAGAGGAGAGGGAAGGGGGAAGAAAGAACCTTCATTCTTAATGAAATACAGTATCCCCCCGGAATATAATTTTGGACTCTTCTAAACAGATGGTTTTCAAAAATATTTTTCTTCGATAACTCCCTGCAGTTCCTTGTCTGTACGATGAATGGCGAGAATTAAAGACTATTTGGCGAAACTCGAGATTTTCAACGAGCTAGCACCTGCGCTGTATTTCTGCGAATTTAAAATTTCGTAATAGTTTTTAGTGAAGGTTGTACGATTTATTCAGAACAGGAATGTAAAACATTTCATGCTTATTAGCAAGTAAAAATGGATGTATATTTATAAAAAGACAATTTTTAAAAAATGTATATTTTTTTTTATTTATAACAAGCATGCATGCATGTCACTATTTCTGCATATGAAAGAAATAATGAATGTAAGGTGTTTAAAAATACTGTGTTTCCAGAAAATTTTTCATGATAATAATAAGACACTTTATAATAGACTCATAATAATAACAGACTTTTCAAAATTTCTAAAATTTTATTTAAAAAAAAAAAAAAGTCTTTCTCTATAAGACAAAATTAATGGTCTCTGGCTATAGGACGACTAAATATAATAAATGGCGATTAAAAACTGTCTGTCTGTAGCCTTCTCATCGCCACTTATGTTACCGAAAATGCACCTCATGGACATTTTATTATTATTATTATATTAAATATTGAATAATTATGAATGTTTAAAAATATTCTGAAAATTTCTTAAATTCAAGCTTGTTTCTTAAAATTTTTCTTCACATGAGAATGAACCTCTCGTAATGTTTAACCATTTTTATACATAATAAAAATAGAAGAAAAAAATGAGAAGATAGAAAGCTTTACATTATTAATATCAACAGTATTTTTTTTATAGCTTAAAATGTTCAGTTTTTGAAAAAGTGACTACATGTTTTAAAAAGTGGTCACAGTTAAAAATGATACAACAGGCCATTGGTCAGTAGCAAAATTACCTCATTTTGCTCAAAACCTTTCTCCAACGTCCCAAACGGTATAGATGTAATTACATAGATTAAATTTCTCTCTCTCTTTTGTTTTAAATCAAACTGCTTCAAATAGCATACAGATATAAATTGAAACAAAATCTTTATCATATAAAACAGTTTCAAATTTTACTTGCTATTATTTTTTAATTAAATAAAGGCGTTCGCAACGTTCATTAAATGTTATTCAATTAATAAACGTTGTTTCTATAACTGAAACTGCAATACTAAACTTTCAGATATTAGACAATAATAATACTAAAAGTAAAAAAAAAAATTGAAAAAATGATAGCAATAGGCAGGATGTTTACTTCCCCCCCCCTTTTTTTCTTTCCTTCTACACATATATTTTTACCTTTCTGCAATTTCAATAACTGAAATTGCAATACTAAACTTTCAGATATTAGACAATAATAATAATAAAAATTTGAAAAAATGATAGCAATAGGCAGGATGTTTACTCCCCCCCCCTTTTTTTTCTTCTTCTACACATATATTTTTACCATTCTTGTCAAAAAGTAATCACTAATTAAGACCTATTAAGAACATTAAAGAAAAGTAATACCGAAAGGTATCAAATCACCAGTGAGGAAAGTGCGATGAAATGCTTCCAAAACCAGTTGGAGAGCCTGATAAAAATTGGGATAGTCTCTAATAATTGCAATTTAATTTCACTGATTTTTTCGGTTAACAAATAGGTTTTGTTGCCCCACCTCACTCCGTAGTGATTCGTTGAATATCAATAATGCTTTTTTTTTTACTCAAATACTTATTTACGACCTCTATTGTGCATTTTTGCTTATTTATTTTATTGATATTCATTTTTTCAAGGATACTAAAATTATATACCAATAAGAGCTTATAAAAAGTCTGTATACAAGCAGTTAATAAATAAAGGCTGTTAATAAATGAAATGTTATTCATTTAACAATTGGTGCAACTTTATTACCTTCAAAATAGCAATTTTTTTATTTTATTTATTTATTTATTCATTTATTTAATTTTTTTTTTTTTTTTTTTTTTTTTTTTTTTTTTTTTTTTTTTTTTNCAAATATAATTAGGCTTACCTTCGTTGGTCGGAGTTTTTAAATACAATGAAAAATTATAAGAAAGTTAAAAAATTCGATTCAAGTAAACAATTAGACGGTTTTATGACGTATAAAATATCTTATTATTTGAGTTCAGTAGATTTTGTTTTACAACCAAAATATGAGGAAATACATAATAAAAGCACCCTAAACCATGTAAAAAAAATTTACAAATTAATTAAGTTTAATTAATTTAAAAAAAAAATATTTTATCACTTTTAAAAATTAACTTTTTTCTAAGCTGCATATTTCTAACTATATGTTATCCAAAAAGTTCCCAATTACGTTTTATTATTAAAACCAGGGACCACAGAACCAGGGGGTCAAAGGAGGCTTTTACCCCCTCACTTTTTCTATAAATAAAAAAGGACATAGCCCTTTTTAAAATTAAAATTTTTCCCTCAATATTCGTGTAATTTAATTTACAATTAAAAAATATTTTTTTTTTTTTGTCTGAATTTTCTAGTTTAGATGAGTATCTAGTTCATCTAGTATCTAGTTCAAATGAACTTTAACATTTCCTTAATGAAAACTGCTACCAAATAATTTCCTACTCATTCTAACGCCCCCTGTTCCTGCTGGATGAGAAAATTCTTGGTTTCATATGTCACAAAATAATAAGGATATATTTTTTTAAAAAAGTGAAACAGAATAAAACTAAATAACGTAAAATGAGAAATATATATATATAAATACAAAAAGGACAAAAAAAAAACGAAGGAAATTAAGGAAAACAATAAGCGCTAAATAATATATATATTCGCTCACAAACATACCCCCTCCCCCTCCCAATTCTTGAGATACTTCCGCAGTCACTGATTACAACAGCTTTAACAGCCATTTATGGGTCAGACTCACATTGAGTAAAAATCAATTAAATACCAATTAATAAGATTTAAAAATAAAAGCATTTACCTTGACCATGTGGGACAGCTTTAAAGTATCACACTTCACAGAAAGCTTGTTCATGACATCGTCTTTAAAAGAATACCAACAATTCAAAACGGTGAGAATCTCCTGATTCAACAGAATCTTAGCCATCGCTGGTTTCATCTCAACAGCAACGTTTGCATCCAAATAACCTTTGATTTTGTGCAGGCACGGCATGGGCGATTCCTTGTTCGGATGCGTCGTTAACAGGAGAATAAGACAGAACAGTTTGTACACTTCGCCGAAATTCGCAGTGTCCTTTTCCATGTACTGGACAATTCTCCAAAGCGGCATCTTCCAGTATCGTTTATTCACAATGATACTCCACCATTGCGCAAATAGTTGAGCCTTACTGGGGAATAAGGTTGGAAAGTGGCTGAGTAAGTTATCTCCAGCGCTACCGAGACTTTTGACATTGGCCTTAGGAGCTGATAACTGTTCGAAATTGGTAGAATTTCCTAAGGACAGGAACTCGTACTGTTCGATGTTCTCAAAACGAGTGTGTAATTCCATGATGGTGTTGTCCAGAATCTCGTAGTAAAGAGGCTTGAAGTTTTTGCGAAGGCCCCGGTTGATGTTGGATTCAGACGACGAGATCTGTGTCAGAATGCGTGATGAAGTGCTGTGTAAATAGTTGAAGAATGATTCGTTTCGCTGCTTGTACAGGGTGACGCACGTCTCTTTAACCTTCTCGTGGGATACTTTAGCATCCATGACGTTGATGAGCAAGAACTTATAAAGAATGTCAGTTATTTCGAAGATGTGGTTGAAAATAACGCACAGAAATATGAACTCAAAATCTCTCAACTTATCCAGCATATTCGAAGCCACGCAAAGTGTCTCGTTGGTAGTGCTATCATCTTGCTGTACGTCTTCCAAGACTTTCTTCAGCTGAGACCAATTTTCCTTTTCTATCATAGCGGTCAAAAGCTTCACCTTTGAGGAGCAAATACCTTCATACATGCACACATCTCGCCAAACGTGAACATCGCCAAAGAGTCCCCTTTTGTTCAAGCTGCTTACGAGACTTAGCAAAGAAGCGATATGAGAAAAAAATATTCGACAGGTTGGAATGCTGCATAAACAACGTTCTAACATATAGTCGATGCTGTGCCCGAACATATTCACATGGATAGCTTGCTGAGCCATGAATTTGAGTCCCACGCGAAGATCTTTCAAATAATTGAACTTCACACAAGTAATATCAAAACAAATTCCAACTAGTTTGGTTTTGTACTGGTACTTTTCCAGAACTGTATCTATAATCCTAAATAGCGAAAGTGATGTTTTATCAGAACCGAGACTGTAATAGCCCAAGAAATATTCTTTCATCAGATGATTCGAATTAATGCATCGCAGAAAAATCGAGCATTCGTTGAAATCGTTAAGGCCATCATCGATTCGAATGCTGAAGAACTTAGCTGCTTTTACAATGGTAAGAATGTAATCTTCCACGCATTCCGATATGCTTTCAACGATGCCAACTTGCATTGGGAAAGACAATAGCGGATTTGGAATGCCTCGCATTTTCCTGAAGTAGCATTTCAACTCTTCGTCTTTGGTACTATTTAAAATTATCGCCGTGAATTCAGCATGCGATGCATTTTGATCAGAATCGACTTCCGAAAACGGGAACTGCTTCTTTATCATAGCCAAAATGGCGTCTACGGCAAAAGTCACACATTGGCGATTGGATCGAATAGTTTCGTTGTTGCTAAGATGTCTAGTTAGGAGTCTATTGTCGTTTAACTCCGATGGATGTTTCGATTTCCTATAGCACGATTCAAAATCCGAAAGAGCCGTGACATTACGACAATGCACAAAATTTTTCTCATGTCTTTCCATGTACGCAATATCTTCTTCCCTTTCGAATTTTTCGCACACCCATTGTTCCGATTCCGAGCCAAACAAAAGACAAGGCCAACAGTTTAAAGTTTGCAAATAAACACTACCACACAGCCACTTGTATCGCTCATACCACTGAATTTTAAATATATAAAAACGCCCGCTTGGTTTTTCTTCTTTGCTTCTTTTCTTATTAATGGCTATCTGAGGTTTAGGTCTACCATAACTGATCAAATCTATCTGATCTTTTTCACTCCAATCCTTAAATGGAGTTTCCATTAAAATACAGACTGCATCATGCAAAGGTGTTTTATAAAGAATGTATCCCATTATTGATTAAAAACGAAGCGAAACTGTAAAAATTAAAATCTATGTAAAATAATCAGTCCGCTAAAAGCAAGCGAAAAAGAAGCGCTTCAAATAAGAATCCAGTTTCCAAACGGAAGAAACACTGGTTGTTATAGCAACGATCGGAGAGAAAGCAGGGTTGCAATTCAACAGAAGTACATATTTCTTAAGCCGCGGTGAGGTTTGCTAGAAAGAACGGTTTATCATTATCGTGCAAGAATTTAGGTAACTTTCCGCATAAATCGCCGTTTCTAGCGCTAAACGAACCTCGAGAGGAAAACTGGCGACGGGTTACTCTCAGCGTTCGCATCCACGGAATGATTCTAAATCATAATAAACCTAGAAAGCTCTTTATTGGCAATCACCTGGCGCACCATATTTGGCACAAAATCACCATGAATGAATAGTGAAATTCATTTCATTGAATGTTATTAATTTTTATTAACATAATATACTAAAGTAGTTTTAAAATAAATATAACACAAAAAAAACTTTTATAATAAAAATTTAATAATGAGCCATATTAAAAATTTACGATCTCACACAAAAATTAATGAAAAGGGAATTTTACATAAATTCAAAAACTAAAAATTTCAATCTTACTGGGACTGTAATTGTATGGTGTTAAACTGTTCAATCACTTAAATTATAGGAAAATCCTTGAATTCTTATTTTTTAGAACAAAAAAAATAAAAAAATACTCATGATAAAAGGAAATGGAGGGGGAAAAAATTCCACAACTTTTAAAAACAATTCTAATTTTTCAAATCTATCTGAAAATCGTTTGCTTACACTAAAATTATCGTTTGCTTACAATTTCTTTCTGAACCTGCCTAAATCGTTTGCTTATTCTAAACACGGAAGTTGTAGAATTTAAAGGGCTCCCAGACAATTTTATTTTAATTTGAGAATAGTTTTTTTAATTACTGGAAAAGGATTTACGCAATCCTAGTAGCGTAAAACAAAATTAATTAATTTCCTTTTAAGTAATGATAAAATGATTTTATATTCGGTGGAATTTCGAAAACAGATAAATAAATAAATTATGAACGTAATAGACTGTATAGTTTTAAAAATAATAAATATTAATCTAATAAGTTACGATCAGCATTTTGCATATTTAAGCATATAGCAGACGCGTTCGACTTTTAATTTTATAATTACATAAACATGAAAAAGAAGTTCGGTTTTTCTCTATTATATAAATAATACATTTGTCATTAATACGGGGAAAATTATAAAAATTATTTTCAAGAAATGTATTTTTTTTAAAAAACTATAATAAAAATTTATAGATTCTTATTCTTAAATGTTTAAATGATATTAATGGAAATGAAAAGATGATGCCCTAATACAAAATCAAAAAGTAAAAATTTCAAAAACAAGTAAAACTATATGCTTACTACTGAAAAACGTGTAATCCTGTTTTGTAAAGCCAGAATACTATTCAACACACAAAATAACAATTTTTAGCAAATAATAAAATGTTATTTATCTAGAAAAAAGATGAGTGTATTATAAATAAAAGTTTGTGATTAAAATATTTTCAATATTTAAGAAATTGTTTGTACTCATGAAAATATACTAATATTTGGAATATTTGATAATTTTTTTCCTGCTCATAATAGTGGTTCAAAACTTCTACATATACTGTACGCAATTTCGCGTATCACCAAATGTCTTTCACAAATAATTTTTAAAAAAAATTTGTTTTTTTAATTCTTTCAATGTTAGTAACAATTGAATTTTATAAATATCAGTGTAAAATAAGTAAATAATAGTAAAATAAGTGTTTAAACGAGTGGTCGAAAAAAATCGTTGATAATAATTCTAAGAAAAATATTAATTATACAGAATGTTTACCGCCTCGAAAAATATTCTGTCTTAGTGGATTCGCTAACTACCATTTCTTCTTAAAAATTAATTGTCATTCCTTAATAGCAAATACCTTGGAAAAATTGCATCTTCAAAATTTTTCTACTCAAAAATCCTGTGAAATCATCGATTTTGGAATAAAGGTCACGAAAATTTTCGTGACTGGTATACCTTGTTATAATACTAAAAATATGTTTCAAGTAGAATTAATTCATATTATATTTGAAACAGCTTCAGTACTTTTCAATAACATTCGAGCTTTTTTGCGATGTTTATTTTAAATACAATATAATTGAAATAATATAATTTAACACTGATAAGGTGACATAAAGATTTATTATTTTTCTCAGTTATTTATTACTTTTTTAGCACATTTAGAATAATTTTTTTAAAATTCTTTCTGCGTATCACGTGATTTTACCACGTACCACCACAAGATGAAGAAAAAAATTCGCCAAATTGGCGACTTTTTACAAACTATAGACTTTTTTGCTTATTATTTTTATTTAAATTTTCTTGTTTTTACAGGTGTTTGTTACATTTTTCAACAGATTCTATTTCTTTATTTTCTATTTTAAGAGGGGAAAAAACTTTAAAAAAAATTATATTCAATAAACTGTTCTGCAAAATAGCTAACGAAATTTAAGAGGGTAAAACTTTTTTCGTTTTTACTGTACAAAATGTGCTTCCAGTTTACGGCTATGCAGCAGATTGTATATCTAACTATACATAAAAATCTAATGATGGTGATATACATAAAAATCTAACTATACATAAAAATCTAATGTAAATCTAACTATACATAAAAATCTAGTGATTTTATTGACTTGAAAGTCACATGATAAGATTCAGTTTCTCCACATTAAATTCCTTAACTTTAGAAGCTATAAAGGTTTTGTTTAACTGTAAAATATTGTTGTATCACAAATTTAAAGGTATTTACCTGTAATATTTATTTTTCTTGATTTACTCTGATATTATAGCGTTTTTGATTCTGATTCTTTCCGAAATTAAGAATTTAAAACTAAAAAGAGTTGTTTCTTTATTATAACATAATTCTATGATATTACCTTATTACGCTATATTTTTAAATAAACTTATTTTAATTGGTGTCTAAACCGTTTTCACTTGCCTGTCTAGAGGAAATTATAATTTCCCCATCTAATTATCTTCATTTCCCTCTGCAGATACCATTTATAATAACATAACGAATCTTTTTTTCAAAAAATATCGAGGTTATTAATTAAAACTTCGTTCCGGTTACAATTTTAAATTTAACTGTTTGACGCTGTTAGTAATGGCATTTATGATAATAGAAATGTGGCGCAACTACCACTACAAATATTAAATACCAAATCACTAGTATAAGACATATTAGCTTGATTCTATCTTGAGGTATCTTTTGATAGATGAAGGATGATATGGCCTATGAAATTAAATCCCGACATTGGTGACCCGGACGTGATCAAATTAACAATTATGAATAAAATATAATTATAAATGGAATATAATTATAAATAGAAATATGATTCTTTTGATCTTTGTTTCACATTAGTTTTTAAAGCCATCAAATCCTATAAAACAGAATTCTTCTTCTAAATTCGTTAAAAAAATATTGAAATAAAACAACAACAAAAATATGAAGAAAAAAAATTTGTATTTCGAGAGAAATTTGTTACGAGTAATGTCTTGTGCAGTAGTGAACGATATTATATTCTTCAAATCTTACTTATCATTTCTACTTATACTTTACTTTGAATTAAAAAAAATTATAGAATTAAAAGAAATATACAGAGAGAAAAATAAGAATAACGCGATTTTTTATGCAAATAATATTGCTGACGCCACATGTTTAATACGTTTTTACTGTGGGCTAAGCCCCCTGTTCGCTCCTGCTCACCAACCTCGAGGATTATTCGCAATAGTCGTAGTTTATAAAATTAAAACAGTTTTTTTTTTACGAAAATTGAAATTATTCGCTTTAAATATACGTACCTTCCCACGTCCAATATTTATTTCTCTAAATTAAATATTTATTTTGAGTTAAATATAATTGGTAAATAGTACGAAAGATCTCGTAAGATTCCATTCAGATCTATTAGTCGAAATATAAAAGCTTCAAAACATTATGCATAACACAGGGTCGCATAAATGTCGCAACGAATTTCTAGGGAAGTTCCAGCTAACTTTATGCAAATAATATTGCTGATGCCACTAACTAATTCCAGCTAACTTTAATAAATTAAAATTATATTGAAACCCATGCCCGAAAACATCGTCATACGTCACTAGGAGCGCTTCCCTATGAGCTGCTTCTTCATGTACCTCTAAACAAGTCATTATAGGAAAGCGCCCCTAACCGCGTACGATGACATTTTCGAGCATGGGCTCCTATGCAAACTGTTGATATGTCCTAACTCCCCTAGAAGTTTGGCACAACATTATCCCTTTTATATGCAATGTTTTTAAACTTGTACATTTCGAATAAATATAGGCTAAAAATGTCATTTTAAAAAGAGTCTGTAGCTAACTAATCACAGATTTGAAATTCCCACAACCGAAATTGGCAAGATCAAGCATTTTTATAGATGAAACAAAAAATTTGTTCATCAGTGTTATTTATATGTTAAGAATCAAAACATAAAACCACATTTTGCTGTTACTGAAAACAAACTAGCAGAAAACTGAAACCTCTACTAAATAGTGAAACATTCATATTACATCGACATCGTCCTTTAAACAGCTGTCAAACGTTTCTATACTTTTCTTCTTTATAGTCAATTTCCTTTCTTTGGAAGAATAAATTCGTTTTCTGTCTGGTTGGCAGTCGAATCTGCTGGGTAGAACTCCATCTTTTAGTTCTAAAGAACATCCAGTCAATTCATGTTTCGCCATGTTAGAAACATCATTTGCAAGCTAAAAGGGCAAAATTCAAATCATTAATTTAAAAAGCTTTCTGTAATATATATAAAAACTAAAAGGTCGTGCGCTCTAAATAACTTTAATAAAATAAATATTACAACATAAAGGTTTGCTATGTTTTAAATGTTATTCCTTATTTGGCTATACTTGTGTAAAATATAATTTTTTTTTTTTTAGCATCGAAAGTTTACGTAGATGTCTAAATTCGTTTTCAGCTAAAACTAAATGGATTAAGCTAAAGTTAAATTAAAAGAAAACGTTATATTTTTTATTTTATAACCGTCGTTGAACAGCCGACCCAATTTTGAGGTTACGATTACTGATGTTCAACTCCGTAGCTTTGTAATTTTGAACCAATCCAGAAGACAAGGAAACTCCTAGTACCCCAGGAGGAATTGATTTGTCATGGGAACATGGAGGACTTTGCGACTCGAAAGATTCTAATCGCTAATTCCTTCACGGGTGCCTATCCAAAGAATATATAAATGTATACAAAGAATATATGAGTCGCTCAGAAGCCAATCCGGTTAAGTCCA